CCCGCGCTAGCCTAAGGGCCACCTTAGCAAAGCGCATCCCAGGCTGCATAGCCGCACTACCCTACCCAACCATACCACACATAAACATGACACTACCCCCGGGGTTTACACAGACGAGCCGGCGAAGCAAGAAGAGCGCCAGAAGAAAGGGCCCTAGCCGGCGGGGCCCAGCCAGGACAAAAGGAGGTCCCACAAAGCGCCTACACCGGCCGCATTTGCGGTCGGGGTAGACGACGTATGGGGCCCACCTACGAAGGCTGTCCGGGCCTACACGAGATGAGGCAGGATAAAGAGGGATAATCCCCCTCGATCCCAAATCATTGAGGCCAATTTCTAGCCATGGAATAATGGCGATCCATTAAGATAAAAAGTAGCCTCGTCAGAAAAAATTATGTTCTTGAGGAAGTCGGGGTCTCCGTTACATCGATGCATTAAATCTTCACAAAAGTGGAGACGGCTGTCTGGGTCGTCCTTAGTCAATGCATGTATCAAGTGACCCTTATAGGGATGAAATTTCTCTTTTTTGAGAAAGTTCACCACAGTTACATGTGAAATATTGTTCAATGCAATCGACCTTGTACTAGAATGAGGGTTGTCCTGGAGCTCCACCAGGATATTCAATCTAGTTTCGTCATCTACTCTAGGACGACCCGCACGAGGAGCATCTTTCACACTACCAGTTTCCTCAAACCTTGCCAGTACCCTACTAACCGTAGATTGCGTAATTGGTGGTCTGTCAGGGTACGTTGCATTAAATAATTGGCAAGCTTCTTGATGGGTTCGTAACTTATCGCCGAAACCAATCATCCTCAAAATATCAATTCTTTCGCGTACACTAAGTTCTACCATTTCGAATTAAACGATTTCACCAAAGAATGTTAAATCAGTACTGATTTTTAGTCTTCAATATTTCAGGTAATCTACTCCTTTCAAGTAAACATTTCTTTGGATCTTTTTTTTGAGGAATTTATCGGCAAACTCGAAGACAAAAAGTCGACCTTAATTTGCTGCATACTATTTGGATTTTGTGTGGTTAAACTTGGTTCTAAATTTTGCAGTTTAATCAGGATCCTGACAATATCTGATGAATAATTCCACAAAAAAATACATAACACCAGTTGCAACTTAAGTTATCTGAAATGCTTTTTTAAAATGCATTTTTCTAAAAAAAATTGTTATGTAAGACATCGAAATTTTCACACCGTTGTTTAGATAATTATCACTGTCATCAATTTCGAACGAAAAAAATATACGTTGTCATTTAAAAAAAAATATATGTCATCGCTGCCGTAAGTGGATTATCGAAAAAAAAAATTTTTCACATAACGAGGTGCCTTTTAATCAAATAAAAATCGACGAGTCTCACCGTTTTTCGAAAAAAAAATTGTTTAACGAAAATATGAATTTTATGCAGAACTTTTTTACCACGCTGTATATCCGCCGGATCTCCGAAAGATTATACATGACATAATATACAATTAGACATAGGTACTCAGACTGCCCTGAAGATAGCATATAGTCCCAGGGATATACGATGTGATATCTGGAGGATATCCTGATTTGTAACATAAGATATCCCTCAGATCTCCGAAAAATGACCTATAACGCCATAATATTTAGATATCCCCAGATTGCCCTGAGGATAGCATGTAGTCCAAATCATATTTCCCTGAAACATATGGTAGGATATTTGGAGCATATCCTGATTTGTAACATAAGATATCTTCGTATGTTAGACACCTGGGAGTTAATCTTCACCTGACCATTATTTCCACTCTCTACGTTGGTGCTGATGAAACGATAAATGTATATATAATATTTATCTTGGATCTCGTTTAGAAGTTTCATTTTCTTTTATGACCCTATATGAATGATAGAAGATATCACATATACGAATACAATCTTGAATTTGTGGAGATTTGACGAATCTTCTTCTGCTGAGACCAAAAAAGGACAACCATACTTTGTATAAGAATGGATTTTTTTAAATTATTTATTTTATGAGTGACGTTTCCAAACTAGCACACATAGGTACCTACTTATACATCTACATAGTTTTACAATGTATTTTTACAATTTTAGTTTTTAAATGTTGCAGACTCAACATAATACCATAACCACAGACATGTGTAGGAAAAAGTTGAGATGGTGAATAACTATTATACAATTGCCTTTCTCCTTTGTCCCTTTGATTTTTTTAATCAAATATAAAAGTATTTCAAATAAATATCCTAAAAAACAACGAAAATATTACCTTTTGCATTTTGTTTGAAAAAAGAGAATAAATGAAAAATGTCCTAAGTCATAAGAATAATTTGTTAACGACATGACAAACTTTTTATAACACCCTGTAACACGAACTGAAATAAAATATATATATATAATAATTCTTACCGGTATTTTCTAATTTATTCCTGCTATATAAAATGCTAGATAATCCAATAGCAATTGCAATGCTGAGGAAAAAATATCTGGTAAAGATATCTCCAAAAGTCAATGCAGATTGTTGCTGTTTTGCCTTTTGACACATTGCAGGTCGAATTCTGGACGGTATATTCAATTTTTCATATATTGCATTTTCCAAATCTTTTCCTGTGCACTCTTTTGGAATACAGAATCCCCATCTAATCATTGTAAACCCAGGTACTCTGTGCTTGGGCTACAATGAAATTAACTATTATAAAGTACAATTAAAAACAATCTAAACAAGTGGATGTTTATGAAAATCTTAACAATATTTAAAAATTAAATGAGTTTAAGAGAAAAACAAAACACAAAATCACCGTCAAAATCAAAGAAATCTGAATATTATAACACCAAGATAACTTAAAAAAACTAAAAAAAATCATTATTATATAACTTTCCTTATTAGTATAAGTAGTACCTATATATTAGATATAGACAAGTACATACAGCTTTCATAAATGATCACAAGCCACGCGACCGCTGTGCTTAGACAACCAACATTTCACAGCTGGTACTTTCAAGTAAAAATCTCTACATCTTAGCGTCACCAATATTAATGATTCGTTAACAATTACAAACCGTCACGTCTACACTTGAGATAATGCGATGATTGGTTGAATAAAATCTCATAAAAAATTACACCACTCACACCCGGTAAAACAGAATGTTGTGTTTTAATATAATATAATATCTCTACTCCTCATTCTAACTACGAGAATTAGCCCAGAAGTCGGAGACTTGTGCGGGAGAGGAGGCGGCATATTATTGTTAAGCAGGCCGCATTTGCGCCCAGGAACGACTTATGTTGGTAGGCCCTAACCACCATTCAGTGCAGGAATGAGGGAAACCTGGAAAACCTCATTAATTAGGGGGGTGGTCAAATGCCAACCGCTGTCAATCTCTCACATTGACCCAAGCCAACATTCTTCCACCCTACCATACCTGCACAGAGGGTGCCAATCCTCCGTACAAGCACAGCTAATCTACGGTCTACCGGCCGCGGGATTCGAAACCCGGGCAGATAGCACACATCGATTTAAGTACTGACGCCTTAAACCGTGCGGCTATCGACCGAATTAATAATGTACTTAATCTTGATCTTATTGTTTTAATTTTATCGAAATTGAATTTCCAACGTGAAGAAAATAATATTACTGTTCCAAACAAGATTACTAATCACGTGGCTTGTAATCATTTATAAAGACTCTGTAGTTAGGTCACTATACTTACATCGTCAAATGTCTCCCGAATCGGAAAATTTGAATGCACCATGTTTTTGAACTTCAAATAAGGCTCTCTCCAGTACGGTTCTATGTTAATGTCTGCCAAACAGTACTGTGCCTCTTCCAGTTCCATACATTCGTCGAAATCACCGTACTGATTCACGTTACCTCTAAGAATGCCAGATGGCAATTTTGCTGTGGCATCAAACACTGAAAATATAATTTGTAAATAACTGATGTTTTCAGAGGTATGCCTACCCAAACATGAATGAATGATGATAAAGGGGTACTTACTCTTTGCGGCGTTCAACTCATTTTGATAAAGCCTCCTCAAATACTCATCGTAAACATTTTTACATTCAGCAGTTACAGTCGTTGTATTTTCAAATACATTTAGGGGATATATTTGCCAGAGGTCCAATATGCTTTGTTTTTTTCGCTCATAAATATGATTTTCTAAATGATATATTTCTTCGTTAATTTCGTCGTCATGTAACAAACCTACAAAAATTGTTTTCTCATATTTTGCACAAAACACTGTTCACAAAAAATGTTCGTACTTATGTTGATATGTATACACTTAGAACCGTTGTACACGACAGAGTTTTAGTTTGAATTTTTTTTATAAAAACCGTTATTAAATATATTTGTAAATGTACATATTTAAACGAAAACCTTTTAGCGCATTACTCTGTATAATTTTATCACTGCCCATGCTTATACAGAGCCTTCATAAATGATTACAAGCTACGTAACCAGCAATTTTGTTTGAAACAGTAATTTTATTTCCAATTGGCAATTACGTAAATTTCGGTAAAATTAAAACAACAATATCAAGAATATATTAAAACATAACATCCTGTTTCAATGGCTGTGATTGGTGTAATATTTCAGGAGATTTTATTCAACCAATCAGCGATTGCATTGTCTCGAACGTAGACGTAACAGTTTGTTATTGTTCATTGTAAACGAATCATTAATATTGGTGCTGCCAAGATTTAGACATTTTTAGTTGACATTACCTTGCTATTGGTTGCCTAACTTCGGCAGTCTCGTAACTTGTAAACATTTATAAAAGCTCTGCATCTATGTCAAAAGTTAAGGTCTGATTCCTTTAAATTATATACAATTTTTTAATTATGTATAAATCTGAAATCAGTACGAGTAGGTATTTTTTTTTACTGTGCTGCTTCACATAATGTCATAGTTTTAATTTTAATAGCAGCTGTTGTGCCGGACTTAAGTCCTAAGTAGATAAAACAGTACCTACGATGAAAAGGAGTACTTCAAATATTAAATTGGAGATTAAAAATATAATATATAAATGAAGTTTAAATCTTAGGAAATAAACGTACACCCCTATTTTTCTGCGGCGATTTTAGCGCATAATAATAGATTTACGGAAAAATAGAAACTACAAATATATTAAATGTTTTTTCAACAAATATGAACACAAATTTTGTATAAAAAATATTGTCGTGTAAAAATAAAGTTTCATCGTTTGTATCTGACCGTATATAAATTATTCTCTATTTTCATTTGTCATTATTTTTATAATAATTTTGTAAATAAAGAATTTATTTCGAAAAAATATACCTAATTCGAAGAAGAAATAGGCAGGTAATGTCCGACAACAGAATTTGGTAGTGTAGATGTGTTAAAAATATATTATGGGCAAGTAGGTATATCAAATCTTGAACTATATTTTTAATCATTTGTTGGAGGTTGAGGTAATTCTCTACCATTGACAAAAACTAGGAATATTGACAGTGGTGTCTATGTACATATACTCTAGCGCAAGACATGTAAAGGTTCACCATGATCAATTTTTACAATTTACTGATAGACACATTAGATATACTTAAACTCTGGAAAAAATAATATTCTTTTCCCTCAACAACATTTGACTAAAACAGTAAATAGTCATTGTATAACAGCTCCAAAGTTATTTAGTCATATTCCAGAAAAGGCCAAACATATTGAAAACATTCTAGTTAAAAAAAATGCAGTTTTAAAATTGTTTAATAATTCACAAGAATATTTTGGATAGCATCTCTAAAGTTTGTATTTTATGTTATTTGTAATTTTATTACAATTAGTTTGTGTTATACTTACTGTTTTTACAAGATGTGTTCCAAAGTAAACAGGACTTTTCAAAAATAGGTATCTCTAGTGAGACCATCTGTTGGCAATGGTAGATGCTTCAATGATAATCGGTGCAAAAATGAGCATCAAACAAAGAACTAACATTAAGTTTTGTAATAAAATTGGTAGTAAAACTGTTTCGAAACGTTTCAATTGATGAACCTAGTTTATAATTATGAATGTTCATCCCGTGGCAGAGTTCATGAATAGTATAATAATACGCTGTTTAAAAACAGTAGTGAGGACATAAATTATGAGCAATATGTTGGCTTATCGAAATCCATGATCACCGTAGATTCCATCAAAACTGTGAGTGAATCCATCACAGACTAGCCAAACTCTTCATTGAAATTCATTGAAATGGAATTTAGCCCAACATTTGGCCTACCGGAAAGTTTGTACACTGTTTGTTCCGCACAACTGACTACCAAAAATTGTTCAGAATTCAACATTCAAAGGACATCATCAAGGAAGTCAAAATAAGCAATAACTTCCTTTACAACATCGTGACTAGTGATGGGTTTTTAATATGATCCAGAAACCAAGCCACAAAATGCCGAATGGAAAGCGCCGGACGAACCAAAACCCAAAAAAATTAATTTTAAGTCAAAAGTGAAGTCAATTTTGATTTGCTTTTACGATTCCAAGGGCATTGTCCACAAAGAGTTCGTTCCACCAGGCCAAACCATTACTGCACAATTCTATCTTGGCATTTTGAAGCGTTTGGGGCTTTTTGTTCGTCGTATTCTGCCAGAATATCGCGCCGAAGAACGTTGACGTTTATTGGACGATAATGCGCCATCTCATCGACACTTGAATCTATATTTTGAAAAATTGCATTTTAACTGTCAACCATTCCCCGTATTCGTCTGATTTGGCACCGTACGACTTTTACCTTTTTGGAAAAATGCAATTGCCGATTAAAGGAAAGCGTTTTATGAACGTAGAAGCCATCGAACATCCTGAAACTTGTACGAACATCCTGACCTGAAGGGCATCTCGGCGCATCGGCATACTTTTAGACTGTGCTATGTTGAGTCGGAAAAGCACTATTTTGATTAAAATAAATCGGTTTTGCCAAAAAAATACCTTTTGTTGTTCTTATATTTAAAAAGTCCTCTTTACTTAATTTGCAACGCACCTTTTGTATATTCTATACATTGCAATGTGTCAGCAGAATAAAGTTTATCGTTATTAGTAGAATATTTATAGATATAATTATTTTTTTGCACGCCGCACCTACACCTGTAGGTATACCTTCAATATATTCCCAAAATAATACTCATTTGTCAATTTATGTTACTTTTTAAATTGTAATTATAATGCAGTAAGCAACAAATAGAACGTGATTAGGAAAAGTTAAACATGCATACATAGGCTATAGTGTCCTGAATTTTAAACCCAATGATCAAGGATGAATAGAAAAATTATCCGCAAATGATTTTACTACTCATAATGCATATAATACCTACAAACCTACAAAATTTATTAGTATAAGCCGGGTTAAAAATGAGATTATTTTAAATTTATTTCATTAGTTCAAGCCTTGACTATACATATTGCATCTTATGTAGTCAGTTATTCAAATACTAACTGGGTGTTCTAAAAATATATACCTAAATATATATATAAATATATAAAACTGAGTGATAATTATAATTTAGAAAAAAATTTTTTTCATAGAAGCGCGCATCATTTTGACAAGGTTTAACAAATTCAGCTACGCACTAAATATAAAGGAAACCAGTTCTTTCCTAATCTCGTAGAAATAGGAATTATGTAATAAAATATAAAATGAGCTACTTATTTGTTAGATACCAAATTTACATTTAGAATTTAAATATTTTTATTTAGAATTGCGCCCTATAATATAACTTACTTTTGTTACACACAGTAAAAGAGTTCCTTATATTTCTTCCAGGAAAAGTTCTTTTAAGGAAACTATCACCATATAAATAATTAATTAAACAAGTCTGCACCACTAATAACATAAACACCAATTTATACATTCTGATTTTGTCAATTGAATGTTTGTCGACCACTCACCAAGATTTATAGAATGGTGTTTGGTATATTTCGTAATATGAATATTCGATATAACATGACCGATTATTGTTCATTGACATTGACATTATTTTACAATTTTGTGCTATTCCAATAACCCATGACATATTGCAGTTAGCACCTATACATTATTGTTAATTGTTAAATGAAGAATATCTAGTTTTTAAGCTAATACATACAGAATGTACCATTTGTCAAAATAAGGGAAGGAAGAGTGTTCCTTCTTTAGCTAAACTCTTGGTCCTAAACCAGACACTGCTTTCGAGATAAGTAAAATGTGTTACTTTTTCGATAATAAAGCTGATACGATACTCTTTTTTATGAACGAATCAAAATAAACGATATCTTTCCCTCTTCCTCTGATTTTAAGAACAGTTTTCGTAGAAAAATAAACTGTCGCTTTTATACGGAACTTTTTTTACCGAGTGGTAATCCTAATAAATCTCATCTTTGTTCTCTATTCATTTTGTCTTTATTTGCCTATATTTCTGTTGCACCCTGTATACAAGAACATGGGCTTGGTTTTTGAGATACAGGACGTCCAAAAAAATGTAAATGTTATTAACTTATTTGTAGAAATAGTTTAGTTTGTCTTATAAATGATCTAAGTTTGTCACATCGTAATACAATCAATACAGGACACATTTTTTTCACTTGTTCAAAAACTCTTAATAATTCAGCTCACAAAATTCCAATACAGGTTTAACTTTAAACCCGTTTTTTTACCAAACGGCTGCTTTCAGCGACAAATACTAAGAGTACTTTTTATGCGTTGCTCATAGTGGCAATACCTTCCCGAATTTTTTGTTTAATTAAATCAATGCATCATCAAAATCATTTGCATACTCTTTCTACATTAAATATCCCCCTATGAAATAATTGAATGGAGAAAGTCGGGTGCACATGAAGGCCAATGTATTGATCCATAGTATTATTCCGCTTATTAAGGAAATGAATATCATTATCAAGCCAGTTTCTGAGAAGAATTGAAGAATGTACAGGGTATCTGCCATTCTGTCATAACTTTATGAGAATTTCGAAATACAATAGGCTTTTTTTCGCGAGTGAAGTCGTATGTTATAGTAGGTCTGTTCCAACAAGAGTCAGGGATTGGTTCCCAACCGTTCGAAATGTTTGGCCAGCTAAATTCTGAATGTGTCTTCAGTGAATATATCCCAAGAATTAGTTGGATGCACATTTTTGACGGTTTGG